GAAAACGCTGGGCCCAGCCAGTGATATCCACATCCCATGAATTTAAAAAAAAGTTGGTCTTTACTCCAAGGGGATTGTGGGACAGTGATAAAGAGACTTCAATCCAATTGTCCTGGAGTTTGGGGGGCTGACAGCTGGAATATGGTGGGCAGTGTTGCTCTCCATATTGAAGGGAGGATGAATCTGCAGTGCAGGAGTAAGGAGATGATGTTGGAGCTGTACAGGACTTTGGTTAGGCAACAGCTGGAATACTATCTACAGTTCCGATCCCCACATTACAGAAAGGATGTGATTGCACTGGAAGGGGAGCAGAGGAGGTGCACCAGCACATTGCCTGGGATGGAGCATTTCAGTGACAGCAAGAGGCTGGATAAGCTCGGGTTGTTTTCTTTGGAGCAAAGAAGGCTGAGGGGGGCCTGATAGAGGGGTATAAGATTATATGGGTGGATAGAGAGCAGCTGTTCCCCTTAGTAGAAAGGTCAATAATAATGGGATGTAATTTTAAAGTGAAAGGCAAGAGGTTTAGAAGGGATTTGAGGAAAACTGTTTTCACCCAGAGGGTGGGGGGAGGTTCTGGAATGCCCTGCCTGGGACTGTAGTTGAGGCAAGAAACCTCACGATTTTTAAAAAGTACTGAGATGAGCAACTGAACTGTCATAACATTCAAGGCCAAGGGACTAGTGCAGGAAACTGAGACGATTGTAGATAGTTTGGTGTAGACTCCATGGACAGAAGGGCCTCGCCTGTGCTGTATGACTCAATGACTTGAAAAATAACAGTAGATGATGACCACTTGACCCCACAAAGCTGCTCCATTTGAAAAGTTTGCAGTTTGTGTTGTTGGAAAGCTGGGAGGGGGTAGGATTTGGGAGAATTGGGTGGTTGGAGGCTTGGAACTGACTGGGGTGGGGAGGCGGTGTTGGGTGGGAATTTGCACAGTGGGAGAGTTTGACAGATTGAGTAGTTGGGGGGATGGGGCTTGGGACACTTTGGGGTTGGGGATTGAATAGTTAAAGGGGGGTAGGTTTGGAGGATGGATTAGTTGAGTGTTTGGGTTGGGGGTTTTGGGACAGTTTGGAGTTTGGTTGGCTTGAGTATTTTGGAGGCTTTTGCATTGTTTGGGATTTCAGGATGAGAGGTTTTGGGGAATGTATCATTTGGGGGTTTCTGGTTGAGGAAATGGTTGATTTAATTATTCCTGGGGCAGGAGAATCTGGAGATTACGTAATGTGGGTGAGTGTGTGACTCACTCGATATAGGGGAACAGCACACCACCAGGACAGATTCCATTCCCTTTGATTGACAACCACCATAGACCATAAGGAACAGGAACACAATTAGGCCATTCGGCCCCTCGAGGCTGCTCAGCCATTCAATAGGATCATGGCTGATCCAATATTCCTCACATCAACTTTCCTGCCCTTTCCCCATAACCTTCAATTCCCTGACTGATCAAGAATCCATCTATCTCAGCTTTAGGTATCCACAAGGCCTCTGTCCCCACAGCTCTCTGTGGCATGGAGTTTCAAAGACTCACAATCCTCAGAGAAGAAATTCCTCCATATCTCAGTCTTAAATTGGTGCACCTTTACTCTGAGCCTGTGCCCTCTGGTCCGAGACTCTCCTATGAGGGGAAACATCCTCTCAGCATTGACACTGGCAAGCCCCTTAAGAATCCAATATGTTTCAATGAGGTCACCTTTCATTCTTCTAAACCCCGCTGAGTAGAGTCCCAACCTGTTTGACTCCTCCATACTGGGGGATCATCCTTGTGAACCTTCTCTGAACTGCCTCCAATAAAATATTATCTTTTGTTACATGTCCAGCAAGACTCACCTTAGCACCTTCTTTTCCAGCTGCTCCTGGGAGTCCTTGTTCCCCAGGTGGTCCAGGGGGTCCTGGGTGTCCTCGCTCACCTAACGGCCCAGTCTCTCCGGTCGGACCCTAACACCAGCAACAATAGTTTGAGGGCATGGGTCACCATGAAAGGACCAAAATCACTGAACATATTTTATTTAACTTATCATTAACACAATTAATATATCATTAATGTTTTGTTAACATATAATTGGCTTATCATTAAACAGTGAGATCTCTCTCCAAAACAGAGAAGTAATTCTGAAATTAAAGCCATTCACTGTTAATTGGCTGAAACTATTGATGATTTCTAAAGGAGAGGTTTATTTTCTCTCAGCAGTTCTTTCTAAAGTGGTGGATTAATTGCCAAATTTTACACAAGATTTATTGACAAGAATTAACAATCCATTGGGAAATCTCCGAGTAGTATTATATTTTTATAGCAATCCTTGGGCTTCTCCCTGGGTCTGGGAGAAATCTTTCTCCCTGATTGCAGGAGGAAGAATTGGAACAGGGAAGTCTGACAGACAGGAAAAGCTGGACAGGCAGGAGGCTGTTGCTCCTGAATGGAGACAGAGCTCAATCTGACCCGAGAGAGTTCTTTCAAATGACGAGAGGATACAGTGGGCCAAGAGAAAGACGTTCACCACCCCCATAACCCCCCCCCCCCCCCCCCCCCCCCCATTACCTCCCCCTCATGGGGAGACCAGCATTCAGGGCCATCAATATCAGATAGTCCCTAAATAAAAAACCCAGCGGAAATTCAGGAGAAACCTCTTCCCACAGGGAGTGGGGGGAATGTGGGAGTTACTCCCAAAGGGAGGGGGGGGGATATGGGACGCTCTCGCGCGGGGAATATTGTCGGAATAATGAGGGGGAAGCTGGATTAAACCACAAGGTGAGGGGTGGAATTAAAGGGCCTGCTGACCGGGTGAGACGAGAAGGGGTTGGGAGACAGGGGAAACCCCAGCATGGGGCAGACAGGCCGAATAGCCTGTTTCTGTGCTGGAGGATTTGATGGAATTCTATTTGTGCCTCAGGGTGGAGAACTATTCCTTGGATCTAAACATCACGGGTCTGGAATTCCAGAATGACTGACAGAATTGCAGGGTAATAATGGAACACTCTCACATTCCATCATTTCTCCAGGGCAGGATCTTCACATCCTGCTGGTCCCTGAGAAATGTTCAGGGAATAAAACACAAACAGGAACATGCAGACGGTCACTGCCCTGCTCGATTCCAGAGTGAAACTGAACCAATCTCCAGGACAGTGGTGTCCTGTCACCAATGACATGGCCCATTCTCCAGCTATTATATAACCCTGTCTGAACCGGGCAACACCCCACCCACTCCACACCCCACACCTCAACATCCACAGGTTCTCCTTAAACCCCATTGATCTCTGAAAGGAAATGGAGTTTCACCAAAAGATTGATGTGTCTACAAGATAAAGGTGGTGATGTACAAGAGCTAAATTATTTATGCAGAGATCTATCACAGACTCAATGGGCTGAATGGGCTAAATAAAAACCGAAAGAACTGCGGGTGCTGTAAAACATGTTCTGAGGGAGGGTCACCGGACCCGAAATGTTAACTCTGACTTTTTTTCTTCACAGATGCTGCAGGACCTGCTGAGCTTTACCAGCAACTTCTGTTTTTGTGGGCTGAATGGACTCCTGCGCTGGACCAATTCGAACAGTCGCTGAGTAGTCAGTGGGGTGGGGCGCAGCTTTGGGAACCATCGATCCAAAGTGCCCTGTTCCTCCTGAACTCGCTGTAATCTCCACACATTACATCTCCAATTACTCAGGCCCTGGAGCCCAC